TACTGCCATGGTTGTGAGCAAGATGGCTAATCCCATCATCTCCTGGCTCTCAAACCCACAGAAAACTGCTGTCCTGCAGTCCCCTCACAAGAAGCAGCCATCCAGAGCACATGTGGGCGATCTCCCATCCTATTATTATTATTATTATTATTATTATTATTATTATTTCCAAGGAACTGGTCTACTCACAGGTTCCTTGGTCTTTGCTGCAATCGTTGGTTCCGCTTTTGCAGAGCCATCTTCAATTCACCCTATCTCCCTTGAAAGCCCCACTTTTTTGAGTTCTTAAGATCATGCTTATGATGGTATCTAGACACCTTGTCTTCTGTCAGACCCATGATGACTGTCTTCAATTTTTCAAAGCATTGGGATCTTCTCCAATGACTCCTTTTCATTTATATGTGCAAAATATTTCAACCTCAGCTTCATTATTACAGGTAGTCTTCGTTAAGCAATCACAAATGGGATCAGCAACTTGGTCATTAAGCAAAGTGGTCACTAAGTGAAACTGAGACTGTGCTTATGATCTTACTTCAGCTTTCCTTTGCTTTACAGACCTGTGAAGATCATAAATTCAAGGATTGGTCATAAAGTTACTCTTTCACCACTATCATAACTGCAAACAGTTGCTAAATGAGGCAGTTGTTAAACGAGGACTATCTGTAATGCTTCCAGTGAGCGGTCTGGTTTTACTTCATCTAGTTTTGAATGATTTGTTTTTCTTGCATTCCAAGGTATTCTTAGTAATTTTTCTCCCACACCACAGCAGAAAGGTATAGTTACAGTTACTTGAACCTGTGCCTTTGATGGCTAGAAGAAATGTAAGAGTAAGAACATACAGCTTCACATTAAGATGTCTTCCACCACAACCTCCCAATTCCCTCTCTTCTAGCTGATGTTTGAAGAACCTCTGGGAACCTCAGCTCTCCTATTTTATACCTGTTCCCTCAGGAATCCAGGTGAGAGTATCTAGTGCTTGGGGTTACTATTCTTTGAATGACAGCTTCCATTTTCCTAGGCATCACAAACCCTTTCCTTTCAGTGGCATCCATCTTTCACACAGAGGGTAAGCTTGAGAGAATCACAAGGTCACAACATAAAAAATCCATTTCTGATTTTGCCAGCATGCCAGTGACTTCCATTCAAACAGTTCAAGGAATTCAGTTCAGTTACAGTACTGCTAGATAAGCACATGAGACCATCATACAAGCCCTAGTGATAAACATGCTTTAACAGGGGGCAGCACTCTCTGGGGTTTGTCCTGAGACCTCAGCTGTTTTACTTAATCTGAAGGAAGCACTGTGAATGTATGCTGAGCATATAAGCTACACAAACAGCTTATGCACATCTTATCTACGTAGGAGCATTTTAAAGGGAGACCAAGGAGGAGATGCCTGGGCAGTCTCATTTAGGGAACCCCATCCACAATATCCAATACAATCAGGTGGATTGATATGTTTTTATTCAAGACAGCAAAGCAATTAAAATATCCCAGGTTTATCCATGATGTTACTGAGCTTTGGACTTCAGTGGACAAAAAGCAATGGAGGAAAAACATAAACTGACAGGGAGTACACCTTCAAGGAAGCAGTGGTAGGATGCTTGAATGAACATTCAACTCAGCCTGGGCTTCTCAGAAGATTTAAAGGACCTGCATCTGCAGCTTAGGGAGATCTTTCAAGCCAGAAGGTATACAGTATTTTCAAATAAGCTTGCATCCAAGACTATCCTTTCAGAAATCAAAGTTTAAAGAAATAAGTTGTTTGCATCAGGAAGATGCTTGGAAAACATTAACTTCTTTCATGGCACAATTAGGCTTCCAAGGCATACAGCACGCTCTCTGGAGTGCCTTTGCTGTCTGGCAACACAGATACAAATACCCTGCGGCATTTCCTAAGGTATTATGGTGTGGAGTCCTTGGGGTTCTCTGAGCTTGGTTCTTTTCTTGCAAACGTTTCATTACCCCGCTAGG